TCATCCCAGCAGAAATGTCGCTTCTCCTCGGTTAGCTTATGTAGAGGTTTGGCTATATCTGCAAAGTTCTTCACAAAACGTCGGTAATAGGAGCACAAACCCAAAAATGCTCTAACTTGCGTCTTGTCTTTCGGAACCGGCCAATCCTTTACAGCTGCGATTTTCTCTGGATCCGTGCGGATACCTTCTTCCGACACTACATACCCCAAAAAGTTGACTTGCCGTTTGAATAGTGAACATTTCTTCGGACTCAACTTGAGGTTGGCACTCTTAATCTTCATGAGCACGCGTTCCAAGTTTTGAAGGTGTTCCTCAAACATACGGCCCACGATGATGATGTCATCCAAGTAGACCAGACAGACATCGCCAATTAGCCCGGTAAGTACAAGTTCCATCAGCCTTTCAAACGTTGCTGGAGCATTGCACAACCCAAACGGCATTACTTTAAATTGCCACAGACCCTTTCCCGTCGAGAACGCAGTTTTCTCCTTGTCCTTAGGGTCAATTTCAACTTGCCAGTAGCCACTTTTTAGGTCCAGCGTGCTAAACCACTTTACTCCTGTAAGCATGTCCAGCGTGTCGTCAATTCTTGGCAAGGGATAGCTATCCTTCTGAGTAACGTGGTTCAGACGGCGATAGTCAACACAAAACCGCAAGCTGCCATCCTTCTTCTTTACCAGTACCACGGGTGAACACCATGGACTAGATGAAGGTTCAATAACACCATCCTTCACCATTCCCTTAATCATGGTTTCCACTTCCCTTTCACGTGCTACCGGCAATCGTCTTGGCCGCTGACGGATAGGCAACTCTTCACCTGTGTTTATTTTGTGTTGAACTAAACCAGTCTTTCCTATGTCAGCATCGTTTGATGAGAATACATCGGCGTACTCGAGTAACAACTTCTTCGCCTTGATCAATTCGTTCGGGGACAGAACACTGCGACAGTCTTCCAAAAGTGTGGTCACTCTCGTTTCTGAATCCTTGCTGGGGGTCCCACTCGATATATATTGGCACTGACGTAACCAATGCACTTCCTCACAAGTACCAACCAGTGTGCCTTTTTCTATAATCTGTTCCCGGTCGCAAAGGTTCAGCACACGTACTCCTGAGATGTCAGTGGTCCTAACCAAGGTTCGAGCTACTTTCCATGGAAGGTCATTGTTTACCCTTTCCACAAGTACACAACGGTGAGCTTGCCCAGCGTTTCGAGGAAGACTAACCGGAACAATCGTTTCCGATCTCGGCGGAAGAACAATCTTCTTGATGCTGTACACGTTCCCTGGTAACGCACCTTCCATAAAAAGTTCCTCCTGTCCACATTTCAAAACACCTTGCTTAACGTCGATCTCGCAACAATTATTCCTCATAAAGTCTAAGCCTAGGATGCAGTCGTCCATTATATCAGCCACGACGACATTATGCAGGTAGATCACGTTGCCTAGCTTCAACTCCATCTCCTTCTCTCCACGGACGGGTATACGCTGACCGGTGGCTGTTACCAAATTAATGCGTTCTAGGTTGTATGCGGAGTCCCCAAGGAACTGACTTATAAGTTGGGAACTAACAACCGTACGAGAGGCTCCAGTGTCTATGGTCAGCTTACACGGCATTCCGTTGATCTCGCCCTTTATGATTAGGCTGTTCCCATCATGGGTTTGTGAGATCGAGATCCTTGGGGCTCTTTTAACATCAGCCAGCACCCGCCCCGCAGTTCTGGCTTTTACTCGTTTCCCTGCCGCTGCTGGGCGGTGCTGTTGGCCGCACTACCCTCCTGAGATCGTTCAATTTCCCTTTCTAGGGTTCGCTTAGGGCAGCTGGATCGAAGATGGCCCTTTTCCCCACAGCCATAGCACCTTGGGCTGTATCCTTTGTTGCGGTCGCGAACTGTAGCTGCTGCAACCTCCCTGACGCGATGGGAACGATGATCCTACCGCACGGCTTCCATTTCCAGTGCATAGGCCAAGGCGTCCATAAGCGTCTCGTGGTGCCCGAGCCTCACAGCAGCTCTGACTTCCAGGTCGCGGATGCCGTCGATGAATGTCTGCACCAGGTTCCCTTCAATGAGCGCAGGTACAGACCGGTATGCTTTTCGCACCAGCTTCTCCACGTCTAGAGCCCACTGCTGCAGGTTTTCGTTGATGCGCTGCACACGATCTTTAAGCTGCGCACGAAAGACGTGTTCCAGGTGAGCGTCGCCATATCTCGCCTCCAATGCCTCAAGGAGTTGCTCATAAGTCACTTCCTCACCGAGAGCTTCCAGAACTGTTAAGGCCTGGTCACGCAGGCCTAGCGTGAGAGCAGTCATGGCCTGACTTTTATTCCAGCCGTTCGCCTTCATAACAGCCTCGAACTGGATTTTGTAGGCTGACCAGGAAGAGGTACCGTCGAACGGTGGCACCTTGAACCCACGTATCGAAGGTGTTGTAGCTACTACGGGAGCTGTAGCTCCATCTCCAAGTTTGAGTTCGTCCAGTGATTTCTTCATGTCAGCCATTACGTTGTCAACCCGATTGTTTACTTGGTCGATTCGGGTTTCAGCTTTCTCGATTCGGTTTTCAGCTTTCGCGATTTGGGTTTCAGCTTCCGACAGGCGGTTGTCATGCTGAGCAACCCTATCCTTCACCTCCTTTATCTCCTTCCCGAAGGTAGCGTGAAGGTCCTTCATGAGGAGCATCTGCTCTTCCAACCGACGGGCCTGTTCCTCCTGTCCGCCCCGCAGCTGCTCTTCCAATCGGCGGGCCTGTTCCTCCTGCTGCTCTTTCAACTGACTGGCCTGTTCCTCCTGTCCGCGCTTCAGCTCCTGCAGCATCACCATCAGAGCACCTAATTCAGGTGCTGCAGATGTAGGAGCTACCGACGGGCCTGCAGCCGGTGGCTGGCCCTCCGAAGTCTGCGGCGTTGCGCCACCAAATCTTCGTTGGTCCGTCTCCTGCTGGCGTTGACTTCGGGTACGGACACCCTCCGTTTCCTCCTTAGGTAAAATCGGCATGATTTTATCCCACTTCTGACACCAATTGTTACGAGCTTGAAGGTTCGTGACAATAAAAATTGCCGATAAAATTACCTAAATTAACACTTTAATTTACTTTACACAAATTAAAACTAAAAACACTAATATTTAAACACACTAATTCACTTAATTCCGCTCCGAAGCTTCGCTTGTGTCGCCGAGTTCAACTCTGCCCGATCGCATCTTGCAGCGCCTACTTATATAAATTAGCAAAATATCCAGAATGTTCAAGTAAACACGCGCAAGGTACCGAGAGTTCGAGTTTTAAACTTCAAGAAGTTTAGTTCTTTGGTTCGAGACTAGATGGCGCTAGTGCGCCGATTTTAGCGCGTAACATTATCTTATAAGCCGCGACGACTGCAGGGTTAAGTAGTCTCGTTACACTTTTATAGTTTATATGTTGCTAATATAAACTAGTTTCGTAAGGAGTGCCGTTGGACTTGCGTGTTCAATTTCAAACCTTATTTGTAACCGCTAAGGGTTGACTTTAAAAAAAATACAAGTAATGTCGTGGGGAGTCCGCTTCTCATATTTCGATTATCACTACAATTTTTATGAAATATTATGTACTCGATTATAATCTATGATATTATTTTAAATGCTTATAACAGAAAGAAAGTATATATCACAATAAAAATACTTACAAATGAAATGTTACTCCATCTTTTCCTAAATTTGAAGTATTAGACTTCTTTTTGCACACGTTAACCGCACAAATCAGATTTTTTTTAAAGAGCACTTACTACGGCGGAAACGATTCTTGTAATGATAAAATCGGTTCCGTAAACTGTTTTTATAAACGTTCAAGATTTTCAAGTCCAATACCTGAGCAGAGGGGAATAATCATGCGAGGCGAGTCCAATGGGTTGAATGATCTAGTGAGCTCGTCTACACGCGTGTGGAAATATCAACCAGAGGGGAGTTAGTAGAAAGAATCCATACCCTTTTTCAAGTTATGAAGCAGGAGATGAAAATAAATATTACGACCACAGAAGTGAGAAGAGGAGAATATTTTGAACACGAAAAATAAATCATTTTAACAAGAAATGTTGTTTTGTTGGTATCTACTAAAAAAAATCGTCCGCGATTTTCTATGTACACATAATTCTAAGAGTTTATGAGACATCTGCGTAAATAATACCTCAATAGAAAGAGCAATAACAAAGCATTTTTTTAAAAAGGTTTGAACTACAAAGGTTTTTTTATGATGGCATAATCACAATATTTCCATTTTTTTTTTTGGTTTCTTTAACTTAAATATACGTAGCCGTGGTAGCTCAGACGGTTAACGCTCGCTGTAAATATAATAGAACGCGATCCCCTACGGCACCAATGAAATTGTTAATTGCAATTTTACGTGCTGATTTTACCAACGTGCTCGGCGGTGAAGGAAAACATCGTGAGGAAACTTGCATGTCTGAGAAATAAGAAAATAAAAATATTTCGAAGACATGTGAAGTTCGCCAATACGCATTGGCGCAGCGCAGCGGACACTTCCTTATCCTAAAAACCTCTCAGAAATGAGGGGAGGCCTGTGCCCAGCAGTGGGACGTATATAGTCTGTAACTTTACTAACTTTGTACGTAGAATGTTTTTTGTAGTTGAAGATTCTTTATGATGCATGATGATGAAGAAGACAAGCTTAGCTAAATATGTTCTAAATGGTTTAAGGTGTCATCCCCTCAGACTTTGCACTCACCTTCCAAACATTCTGTATTTGCTGGAAAGATTTTGAATAAATATAGTCGACATTGGCAAAAGTGCAACTGTACAAGTCTATTACAAAGATAAAACTTACACTACATGTCATGTCAATTTGTCAATATGTCAATTAAACATTGCGTTGGACGATAACAGGAAATAATCCTAACTTATTTTGAGACTATATTGATTGGAAGAAATTAAAAACTATATCCAATTAGTTTAACTTATCTGAAGAAAATTGTATCTTTAACTTTAATACAGAACAAGCGTACAGAATGTTATGATGGCCACTTACGAAAATTGGTCAGGTCGACGGAAAGGTATTATTTTTTCTAAGGAGCTGCCTACCTTATTTTTGGGTTCTGTCATATAATAAAAACCTTTAAATAATTCTTGCAGTTACAATTTTTATGTATTATAGTGATGTTTGTGGATTGAATCATCTGGGATTATTACATTACAGGTAAACATGGTGGAGAATTATATAGGTTAGACACTAAAAATAAAACACCAGAGGAAAATATCAAAGAAATCTTACAAGGCTTATACATAAAGAAATCATTCCATAATGATACTTCACCTACTAATAAAAATTTACCTACAGAATTGAGGACAGGGTTTCGGAATGTGCAAAAAAACAGTTCTGATTCTTATAGACTTTCCTGTTTAAATGCTTTAGTGATTCTTCTATCTAAAGAAGATAGAAATAATTTAGGATTTACTAGTGATGAACTTATGACTTGGTAAGCATTTTATATTTTATTTTATGTGCATTCTAAAAAGTAATACCTGTGTAATATAATATAGACAATTGATAGTTTATTTGAAAAGAAATCTGGTAGATGTAGAATAAGGTTCTTTTTTTATAAAATATAACTTACTAATACCCACACACCATTATATTTAAAAAAGTATGACTGTCACTATTACTGTGATAGTGAAATTAAATTGTGTCTTGACTGTAAGTAAACATCTTTTATATGTGGTAGAGCCATGCTGCAATTATTAGTAGTATAGTTGTAGCACAAATGGGTCTGCTTGACCAGGGAAGGACCACACTCTCACATAATACCAGCGTAAAATAGTAGCTTAATGCTGCTGTGTTTTGTATGGTGAGTGTAGAGAACCGGAGACCCCTTTTACTAGAAATGAGGCATTCCATCTTAGTCCTCATTCATTCTTAATTGAGGATAGATGTTTATGGGCCACAGCAACCGCTTACCGTCAGGTGAACTGTGTGCTCATTTGTTACCATATCCTATAAAAAAATTTGTTGCACAAAAACTGTATCAATATAATGTTTGATGTCTTTTAATCCCTTAAGAATTCATATTTAGTTTTTTTATTTATTGGAAACAGGATTTTTAGCTTTTATTGTTTATAACATAACATAAGATCTTATTCTGAGGCTGAAATGTACTAATAACTGAATTTGATTTTGATGACGTAAAAAAAATTTGTAATGTAATTTTGCATGCTTCACAAAAGTGTTTAAATGCCTTTTGTCAGGCGAGAATAAAGATACATATCATACTTTTGGCATACTTAGGTATATTCTTTATAGAAAAATCCTTATCATTAATATGTTTCACAGCATGCATTATCTGAAATCATTAGTAATGAGGCTATACTTATTAGAACAAGCAATAAAATTAAAAATTTTGTACAATCAACTTCAATATAAATAAAATGAGAACAGGTAAGGTTTGAAATTAAGTCATAATTAGGGTGTGGAGGGGAGGGAGCCGGGGGAGATGAAAAGTCGCCCCCCACTTCCCCCCACTGCCGGACAAGCTTAGTTTTGTTTTTATAAATCTCATTTTTAGGTTATGTTTTTGACTATAAGCCTGATTTATGTGGGGAGAGTTGGGGGAGGGAAGCACCATGTAGTGTAGCTGAGGGAAGTTGGTTGACGAAGCTCTTACTTCTAAATGGTTTATAAAAAATTACCACGAAGGGGATGGTGGGGTCTAAGCCCTAAGTCCAAAGCTCGCTTCGCTCGCTCTTACACTCAATTAAACACCAAAATATTAACTTTTACTTATTAATTACTTAAAATATTAACATAATTTATAGCTACAATCATTTGTTAAAAAGGATCCAGAGGAGTAGCATAGAGTAGTAGTGTGTCGTTGAAAATAAGTGGAGTTAGATAAAAAAGTTAGGGAGCACATTCACGTAAACTCTGAAATAACGGAATGATGTAAAGTATATCTATCACTGTCAACAAAATAGCCGGCCTAGCGATTCATTTTACGCATTTTGAGATGACTTTGACAGATGCAAAGTCAAAAGCGTTAGTATTTAGTTAAATGTACGTTCCATTTAACATTTAGTTAGGGATTTACGAATATTTTTAAAAAATAATTAAAAATAGTTTGATGCCGCTCCGGCAGCAAAAATTGCATGGGGGTGCTTCAGATAGACCCCCTTGACCCCCACACAGTGACAGAATCCCCAAGTTCAGGCGACCTTATTTAAAACCCAACCCATAAGAACATCATCAATGTATTCCAAGTCAATTAAATATGCATTATTTAAGGACAACTCAAAAACTACTTGTCAGATCTTGATTCAAATTAATATGGGACCATATGAGAAGCACCAGTTTTCAGATAAAAAAAGAATCGTCAAAATCGGTTCTCCCAGAAAAAAGTTCTGAGGTAACACAAAAAATACATACAGTTGAATTAAATACCTCCTTCTTTTTAAAGTTAGTAGAAAACACAGTTGGCATGGCTTATTAAAAACCCTCATTATCAACCCTTTAGAAGTGTGCAGCCTACATAATTACTTTTTAATAAGATTGGATGTACTTGTAAAGATTGAATATTGGATAATAACTGTATGGTAATAGGACTCATCCCTCTATTCTTAGTCAACAAGTAATGGCAAAACCCACCAGTACAGTGTCTGTAACGAAGTGAATGTGTGGAGGAGGAAGGAGCTCTATGAGAGGTTCTATAAGGTTCTACATGAGCCTTTTGTAAACACCTACTGTGTTCTGTGCTAAGATGATTCATTATCTCTTAAAGTTATTACTATCATGGGGAATCACAAAGGCATGTAATATCCGGATGTTTGGTATCTCTTTTGTTTTCAAGCTCTTAGTATCTGATACAACCCATTAGCAAGTATTCTACAGCAGAAGCTTGCTCTGAAGTAAATCAAAAATTGTCTTATTATAAATGAGTACTCTGTAAGCCATGCTCAAAAATGTCTTCACTAACTAATGGTTTATTCTTGTGAGTAACTCAGAGTTTATTGAAGTAGACTAATCACATTCAGGGATACTTATTGTGAATATTCTTCTTCTTCTTCTTTTTTGTGGCAGTTTGGTAAAATTTGCTAATGACATATTGAATGGAAAAAAAGCTGATGGATTTAATTAAAATAATAGTTGGTGGTAATACAAGAGTTTAGTTTTTCTCTTAGAATTTTGATAGACCTATTCATTTATTACCTAGAACAAATGACAAAGTGTTAGAATCTTATTAGTATGTTAAAAGCGACAAATATTTATGGTCTTATTCCAAAAAATATTTTAATACAGTTTTAAACCAAGACAATGCAGGTTTGTTACAGTATAAATGTTTAACACCAGAATCAAAAGGTGTGCTTATTACAAACCGCAGACTATCTGAGGACCCCTTAGTACCAAAGTTAGTATTGGTTTAAATAACATCCACAGATAAAAAACAAAAAATGATACTGTTTTATTCTTCATAGGGGTTTCATTGGAAGCAACTGTTTTCATTTTAACAGCTCTATCCTGAAAAGGAGTGAATTGCATAGGTATGGGGAGCATGTAATTTGAGACAATAAAAAATGTTTATGTTGCGCCCATAGAATAAATCAATGTTCTTGTTATTTTAATTCATTGTTCTATTCTAAGTATAGTGGTGTTGCAGTCAGTTAGGTTGTGTTCGGGAGATTATGTGTGTGGTTAAATAGTTATCTAACTATATGTATAAAAATGAAATAAAAACAATGGGGTGAAAATTAGAGTTCTAAAGAAAAAGTTAGTGGAACATTGAAATTTATTTTATAAGTAATAACTAATAATGCTTTGAGTCATCCTTATTTTGATTAAAGCGAATGTTCCTATTAATATAGGAAATATGACATACAGTTATTGATTTATGAGCACATATTATAGAGGATGAAAATGTCAGTAAATGTGCTGAAAAAAAAAGTACTAATGATTTCTATGTGTACAAGATAAGTATTTATATCTTACAAATTCATCAAGACAATCATGTTAATATTCCCCGGTTTTTACAGTTTTTACTTTCCCCTGGGATTTTACTTAGATAAATCAGTGTATTTGGCTGTTTGTTCAGTATAAGTGGAGGTCAAATTGTGAGTATTTGGTATAGCAATATCTATAAACTGATTTTATAAACTGATTAATTTCTGTTGTCATGTAGTGTAATATCCGGTCGATTATAATGCATGGTCTTGTGAGTTAATATAGTTCTATCCCTGTAGTTTGAATTCACTAGAGTCAAGTATGATTTCGGACTTGTAATTATAATATGCTTTTTTTCATCTATAAGTTTATATTTATATGCGAGGTACTGATGAATGATGGCAGCTACTTGGTCGTGTCTGGGTTTATAGTTTGTCTGTGTTATTGAGCTGCAGGCACCAGTGATATGCTGAATGGTTTCTGAACTATTATGACAATGTCTACAAAAGTCTGATTGTAGAGTGTGGTCTTTAATTATGTGTTTCCTGTAGTTTAGTGTGTATATAGTTTGGTCCTGATTGCTAACATGAAGCCTTCCATCTCAGGAAAGAGTTCTCCGCACCTGAGCCACATGTTAGATGCTATCGTGTGTATGTTTGTGTTCATCAAGTCGCAAAGATGTCTTCCATGTAACATCTTCTGCAACCAGCTGTTAATTTTATCCTGTGCAGAGATAACACTATCATTTTTCTGTTTTCTTTGATCATTGAGGTTTAAAGGAGTTAGTTTAGTATTGGCTTGAACAACAAAATTATGAAGCGGAGAATTATTGGCTTGTTGATGGAGAAGTTTTGAATAGCTCAAATTTGAGAGTTATAAAGATTTTTTTATATCTATGACACTTCTTCCACCTTCTAGTTTAGGTAATGTGAGTCTTTTGCTACAAGATCTAGGGTGGTGTTTTCTGTATTTTGTCACAGTTGTATTGATAAGACATTCCAGCTTTATTAAGTTACTTTTAGAGCAATGAATTATACCGAATGAATAAGTTAAAATCGGGAACGTCTTTTATGGTGTTTCGTGCATTTAGATATGTGTTAAGTATTCTAGTTAGGTATAATTTAAATTCTTTTTCTAATGTTTTTAATATGTTTTTGATGAATCTGTTGAATCTGAGTAAATCCTAGATATTTATAGCCAATGTTTATATCAGTTGAGTAGCTTTCCGTTATATCATTCTATTCCATACAATTTTATGTCATCCATATAAATTAAATGTTATAGTGTGTAATGTGTTTTTCCGTTGGTAATTTTATATACCTTGTTATTTCTAATGAGAAGGTTAGATAAAGGATTTAAAGCCAGGCAGAACCAAAGAGGGCTTAGGGAATCACCTTGAAAAATTCCTCTTCGGATTGTTATTATATCAGTATCTAAACAGGAGTCACCATTGTAAAGCTTCAGTGTAGTTCTCCAATGAAGCATTGCATTTTGTAAGAATTCTATAAGGGATCTATCAGACAGAAGCCATTCAGGCGTTCAAGCGTTCCG